ATCTCTGGAACATCCCATCTTTGTCCACCTTGTCTATTCCGCGCAGTATTTTGTGTCGTTATCATGTCACCCCTGACCCTCCTGTCCTCCAGTGTCATCAGTCCAATTTCCTTCAACCTTTCGTCATAGGACATTCCCCTGAGTTCTGGAACTAGCCTTGTTTCAAACCTTTGTACTTTCTCTAACTTCTTGACGTGCTTGACCAGGTGTGGGTTCCAAACTGGTGCTGCATACTCCAGTATGGGCCTGACGTATACAGTGTCTCTCTCTGTAACCATATATACATGTAAGTGTGTTTGCATGTGTGTGTGTGTGTGCGCTTGCATGTGTATTTGTGTACTCATATATGTGTAAGTTCCTGTGCTCGTGTGCGTATGTATGCTCGTGTGTGTGTACTCAGTTGTGGTAACAGGGGTCGAGTCACAGCTCCTGGCCCCATGTGAGAGAGAGAGAGAGAGAGAGAGAGAGAGAGAGAGAGAATGACTTGAGTATGGAACACATTTGTACAGCATAAAGATGTCAACAAGATAAAGTCAGTTGATCGAATGAAAATGCTGACCCACAGATGGCTCCAACTTCATCCTGTTCCCTACTTGTATGTCTCATAACAATAAAAATGCTTTCAAATGAGATGATGTAGGTAACAGCTCTTAGCTTGCTAATAAAGTTAGGAATCCTTAACCTGTAAATAGGTTGTCAATAAAGCTAAGGATCCTTAACCTAACCTTGTCAAACACTGTGTAAAAAAAAAAGAGACAGAGAGACAAAGTCAGAGACAAAGACAGAGAGAGACAGAGAGAGACAGAGAGAGAGACAGAGACAGACAGAGAGAGAGAGAGAGAGAGAGAGTGTGTGTGTGTGTGTGTGTGTGTGTGTGTGTGTGTGTGTGTGTGTGTGTGTGTGTGTGTGTGTGTGTGGTGTGTGTGTGTGTGTGTGTGTGTAATAATACCTTTAAACCGTATATATACTGAGGTGTATAAATCTGTGTATAAATACAAAGTTTAATTTAATCCCTATTTTAGGAATTAAAAAGTTTTTGACTGGCTGTGTCCAAGTGTAAAGAAGACAAGATCCTTATGTAGTCGAAAGGTTTCAACCCGAACCAACCAACCAACCAACCAACCAATCCATGAAGCCTACCTTAAAAACAAATTAACAAATATATTAACCTCCTAGCGTAGCTAGGAGGTTAATATATTTTCCACTGTTGACACTCGCCGAAATCATTTACAATCAACAAACCTACTCTGGTAAAAATAAGAGAACATTCAGCCAGACGCCGAACTCAGGAACCTTATGACTAGTCTGGAAAGTAGCGTAGTGGAGGCAGGAACTATACATAGTTTAAGACGAGGTTTGATAAAGCTCATGGAGTAGGGAGAGACAGTGACCTAGTAGCGATCAGTGAAGAGGCGGTGGCCAGGAGCTATGAATCGACCCCTGAAACTTACGTTGAGGTCCATTCAAGAGCAGTCAGGTCACCAGCGGTGGGACGCTACCTGTCACCACTCCCACTGCTCAACAAAGAACAAAAAGGCACAACACCCTGACTGGAACAATACACAAATAACCCGCACATAGGAGAGAGGAGCTTACCACGACGCTTCGGTCCGTCTCGGACCATTCACAGTCACACTGTGACTTTGTAAATGGTCCAAGTCGGACCGAAACGTCGTCAGCTCCTCTCTCCTATGTATGGGTTATTTATGTACTAGTCAACAAACATTTGAACGCCAACACGCACAGGATTAAGTTTATTTAGGTACACAGGTGACTACAATTATCATAGTAATATATGTGAAAATTATCTAGGATAATCTCCCAATAAAGTCAAGAGTGACTTATTTCCAGTGAGGGGTCCTTGCAATAGCTTACTTAAAGCCTAGCTGTAAGATACAATAACTGATTTTCACAGCTAACTAGCTGTGAAAATCAGTTACTGTAACTCGATCGCTACAACACTCCGCTCACACACTGTGGTCCGTGGTTCGATCCCCGGTACGGGTGAAAACGTTGGGACGTGTTTCCTTTAGGACACCTGCTGTCCAATGTTCGCCCATCAGTAAAACAGGTACCTGGGTGTTAGTCGACTGGTGTGGGTCGCATCCTGGGGACAAAACACCTTTACTCTCTATTTTCGGAATTAAAATATTCTTGTCTGGTGGTGAAAAAGGTTACATGCAGCCTTAAATGGCCTTAATGCAGTTGATAGGCTTTAAACTGGATTAACCAACTAATACACGGATTGTTAGACAGATACATATGCAACTGATAAGACACTTTATTGTGGCAACGTTTCGCTCTCCAGGAGCTTTTGACCAAAGCTCCTGGAGAGCGAAACGTTGCCACAATAAAATGTCGCATTAGTTGCACTTGTGTCCTTTACCTAACATATTGTCCGTAATTCTACCAACATTACTGCAATATAAGGATCGCCTAGTCAATGGTGTACGAGGCTACTTTTCCGCACCTTTTTCCCGACGAACATTAACGTTGTCATAGTCATCAATAAACCCAACAAACGCCAAGTTGCTAGTCCCGAATTTTCTGTCAATTAACCATTCCTAGGCGAAAAACTTAGGGTAGTTTTCTTGGTGGGATTACCTAAAGATGTGTCCAGATTGATCAGTGCCACCATCACATTCACAGAAAACGGACTTTCTTTAAGCTAAGAGAAAACCAAAATCTCTTTCACCCATAACTCTCTTAATTCTGTATGACTGGTTTTCCACCACGTCATAAGTAAGTTTATTCAGGTATAGTTACATAATAAAGTTACATAAATTATCATTAATACATAGCATATGTGTAGATTACCTAAGATAACCCAAGAAAGTCAGTCAAACTGACTTATTTCCACTGTGGTCCATGCCAAATATCTAGAATTAACCATACCACGGGTGGGGTTAGAACCCGCGATCAGAGAGTCATAAAACTCCAGACCGACGCGTTAGCCACTTGGCCAGCTAGTCATGTTGGTGGCTTTGAGGGTACTTCAGCTAGAGTTCGTCACGGCCACTCTTGCGGGAGATTCGTCTGTAAAAACTTGCATTTGTGGTCACAGTGGTGCCTATGCTAACCTTCCTATGGTGTATAAATATACCTAGTTGAATGAATCTTATTGTAGCCAGATGGTCCAGTGGCTAACGCGTCCGTCTGGAGTTTTATGACTCTCTGGTCGCGGGTTCTAACCCCGCCCATAGTATGGTTTGATTGCAATCGTGTCATTACGATTTCGTGAGTTGAGTTATCTAGAATTTACCACGTGGAGACGGATCACTGTGGCACCTGCTTACAGTGTACTATATAAAGTATACTGTGTCTTAATTATATGTACGGTGTCCCCTAGCTCGGTTGGTAGTGCACTCAACTCACATATTGAGGTCCGTGGTTAGATCCCCAGTACGGGTGAAAACATAAGGACGTGTTTGCTAAAGACACCTGTTGTCCCTGTTCACCTAGCAGTAAGTAGGTACCTGGGTGGTAGCCGACTAGTGGGGGTCGCATCCTGGGGGACAAAAGTAATCTACGTTGCCCGAAATGATCTGCATAACCAGGGGCTTTCTATATAGCAAGTCACTGATGTCAGCTATGGTCTGTATAAGTTGTATCATGTACTTGTAGAAATAGATTATTATTATTATTATAAATTTGAATCCCATTCCAAAGGTATTTAAGAGATAAGAGATAAGATTTCGTTCGGATTTTTAACCCCGGAGGGTTAGCCACCCAGGATAACCCAAGAAAGTCAGTGCGTCATCGAGGACTGTCTAACTTATTTCCATTGGGGTCCTTAATCTTGTCCCCCAGGATGCGACCCACACCAGTCGACTAACACCCAGGTACCTATTTGCTGCTAGGTGAACAGGACAACAGGTGTAAGGAAACGTGTCGAAATGTTTCCACCCGCCGGGAATCGAACCCGGGCCCTCCGTGTGTGAAGCGGGAGCTTTAGCCACCAGGCCACCGGTCTCTAGTTTACACCTCAGTGTAGTTATTTACTTTACATCTCAAGCAAGGTATACTTTACTTTCCTAGCTGATAAATATTATTCCAAAGTAAGTAGTACACATTAAACACTTAATACTGTACAATTTTCCTCACCATAGTCTCTCCCAATATTAGAAAACGAACACAGCATCATCGAAAACCAGGAAGATATAGGCTATGTTGGGTATACTAGTGTGAAGTATTTCTGTCATACTAACTGCTTTCTCTCATTAAAAACTGCTATGTAACTCAAATAAAATGTTCATTAAATACACCTACCATAGAAAAAAAATACTGAACTTTCAATATAATTTTAATGAAACTTCGTTTAATGTCATAGTCGTGCAGAATAGGAAAAATGGTCAATTACAAGAACTCATTTAAAATTAAGTCCTTTCTAAAACAATTTCAGTTTCTGCTATATATATATATATATATATATATATATATATATATATATATATATATATATATATATATATATATATATATATATATATATATATATATACATATGGCAATGAAGCCACGAAACAAGTGGTACTGAATCATTTACCAAACTGCGGCAGGCCAGGATTCTACCCTACGATACATTGTTCAGCTTCAAGAGACAACACAACGCACATGTCACCCTATCCACTACGCCATCGATCCTATGAATATGATAATGTAAATTGACAGCAAAGTCACATTGTTTGACTATCCTGTTGTAGGTTAAATCTACACACTATTTTTTTGCACTTAAAACACTGTGCCTTAAAGACCATTGTAAAAAAAAATGCTACTCTTGTATGTGTTGTGGATTATTCTTGGTAATTTACACGTTATTATGTAAGACAATTGTAATCACCTAAACTTATGTATTTGTATCTATGTGTAATTGGATCTAAATAAATACGTAAATCTAAAAACAAAACAAAAGACTTACCTTAAATACAAAAGAAAACGAATACAAAACACTTATCATAGAAAACTAACACCAAATAGCATAAACTCATATAAACACTTACTACCACCACCTCCGGATCCTTCGTGTCTTTCGTCGGTACCAGGCGCGTTGTACTTTGGTGAAAAGTATTCTTTGTCGTAGTCATCATCCTCCGTGTCATCGTTGTCATAGGTGTCGTAGGAGGCGTCGTAGGGGCGGTCCTTGTTGCCGAATCCAGAACCTTCGTGGTCGGTGTGAGGTAGTTCTGAACCGTCTTCTAACTCGGCCCCGTCTCCAGAACCCACGTCGGCCAGGTAGAGGTCCTCGTCCGTCGTCGCCAACACCTGCAACATCAACACACCTTCGATGAGTTCCGAGACTTTTTCTACTCCCTGAGCCCGGCCATGGGCCAAGTTAAACACACCTCTGTACATAATATATACACCACAGTGCACAACAGTACATAGTATACAGTACACAATACCGAAAACTTCATAACCAAGACACATGGGTATGTAAACAGTATACAGTACCGACAAGATGAAGATTTAGACACATGTGCAACATCTGGGTATCTTTATATGTAGACGTTTTGCTAACCAGCGGTTTTATCAACATAATAAATGGACAATGCCTCCGTCTGCTGCACGTCTTACACCTGTCGCCAGTATATAAGCGCCAAGTTCCATGACTGTGCTTCAGTTCCTTCAAGACTACGGTGATCTTCACCATCTCCAAGGCTGAGGGACTGATTACCTCATCGTCTGTTTATATAATTCTACACTCTTCAGATTAATGTCCTTGTACTGATAAAGCCACTGATTGGTGAAATGTCTACAAATAAAGATACCCAGATGTTGCACATGTGTCTAATTTTCAATCCGTCAAGTCGCTGGACGAAATTCAACTGGCGGAGTCAGCAACTATGAATCGAATCCTGCAAATACAACCCTGTCAATACATGTCAAGAGGTTACCTTGATGCTCGTAGGCAAGTCCAGGGGTCAACACCCCCCGCCAGCCGGTCCCAGTCCAGTCACGCTAATTTGACACTAATTACAACTCTACCTCAAAAATAACAAATAAGAATAATAACAAAAACAAAACATAGAACATTCACACACCTTCACGGAACTTACTTATTCCTTGTCATTCTAAGGTCATCTCAGTCCAACTGAGACACTAAAGACAGCTGCATTTATTGGACGTTTCACGAGAAGAAAAATTTAACATTAACATAAACACATGACACAACATTAGCCTTCGTTCTTCATTCACAACTTCAGAATAAAAGGCGCGAATATTCTGAGTAAAGAACGACCAGTAACATCAACAGATGCCTGGCCTTCCCAGCCAGGGCAGAAAAAAAAACCTCACAAACATTAAACCATTTATCACATCAGAGTTTCAGTGGTCACCTCGTCCACCATACTGGAACTTAGGAAACACAAACACGAAACAGTCTTGAAGAAAGTGTCTGGATTAATGAAATCCTGTGCATAGGATATGACTCTTCTTATGACCAAAAATGAGTAGTTCCCAAGAGTTACACAGGAAGTGTGTTTAACACTAGGACACATAGACGAACATTTCAGTCTTGGGGCCTTGATCACTTGGTTTTAAGTGGTCAAAGTCCCATGACCGAAACGTTTTTTAAGTATATCCTATTGTTTGTTCACTTGACTTTCTAAGCCACTTGTGGGTATCCATTATTAAGGTTTACACCAGAGGAAGTAGCGTTGTTGAGAGAGAGAGAGAGAGAGAGAGAGAGAGAGAGAGAGAGAGAGAGAGAGCAGTGAAGCGAGGTGATATGTAATGACCTCGCCTGATTCACGAGACACTAACGACACTCTCGGGGTTATACCTTTGTGAAGAAGACACTTAACTTGAGCAACAACTTGAGATAAGGACGGCTACACAACCCGCCAGGATAACAGTTATCCTCCAACACAGAATTTACTACTTACAAGAGCAAGAGACGGGGCAGACGGGGCAAAATACTTCAGTGAAAAGCGGCGGTGCGTTGATGTCAACGATTCACACCATTTTCAGATGTACTTTCAATTTCGGCTACACTATGATACGTGTAGGACATTGTCAAACTATTGCTTTAAACAACACTTCGAGGACAAAATTTAGCAAAACCAGACGAGCCTGGCCCATGGTCGGGCTCCGGGAGTAGAAAGACTCTCGAAACGCATCAAAGGTATATGTAAAGAAATTAAAATTCTTGTTCCTTCATACTTACTCAGTTATTTCTTAGTACACTAACAGATAACTCAATAAATATAAAGGGGCCAAGACTCTTCAACACCCTTCATGCATAAGGAGAATTGCCAACGAACTCCTAGCTGTCTCAAGAGGGAACTGGATAGCTTCAAGTTCGTTCCTAATCATCAGGGCTGTGGTACCCACGAGGGACTACATAAGTCTAGCACCAACAACCTGGCTGATCAGGTCTGGGACCTGGTCGCAGTTACCCCAGAAATCATCGTCAGATAACTCACTCTTCTCACCTAACTAGAACCACGAAATCAAAACAATGGGACCACAAGACACAAATTACAATGCTGGAACCACAAAACCAATCACTACAATAGGACCACAAGACCAATCACAACGATGGGACGACAAGACCAATCACAACGCCGGGACAAGACCAATCACAACCCTGGGACCACAAGACCAATCACAACGATGGGACGATAAGACCAATCACAACCCTAGGACCACAAGACCAATCACAACCCTAGGACCACAAGACCAATCACAATGCTGGACAACAAGAAACAAATCACAACACTAGGACCCCTAAAATCCCGTTATAATCATAAAAACACAAATCACAACACTAAGCGAAAACACCATAAGCGTCCGGGGCCCAAGACTGTTGAACAGGCTCCCACCATGTATAAGGGGAATTACCAATAGGCTCCTGGCTGCCTTCAAGAGGGAGCTGGACAGATACTTAAAGTAGGTGCCGGATCAACCGGGCTGTGATCCGTACGTTGGACGTGTGGCCAGCAGTAACAGCCTGGTTGATCAGGCCCTGATCCCCGGAATACCCTCCAGGCAGATGTCCAGGTAGGACCCCCAAAACTCCGTTATAATCATCAAGACACACAAATCACAACGCTAGGACCCAAAAATTCCGTTATAATCAAGAAACACAAAACTCAGTAGAGACCCAAAATCCTGGAGGTTACCTGGAGGTTATTCCGGGGATCAACGCCCCCGCGGCCCGGTCCACGACCAGGCCTCCCGATGGATCAGGGCCTGATCAACCAGGCTGTTACTGCCTGTTACAATAATTAAAAAACACATATCACAATATTAGAGGCCCCGAAATTCCATTATAATTATCAATAAACACACAAATCAAAACACTAGAACCCCAAAACCCGTTATAATAATTAAGAAACACAAATCACAACACTAGGGCCCCCAAAACCCGGTTATAATCATGAAGAAACACAAATCAGGAAACTTGAGGAAGGTAATGGTGGCAGTGAGAGTGGGAACAACGAGGATAAAAGGCTGAGAGCGTCGTAACTTGCCAATACTGAGAAAAATGAAAGAGGCGGTTATTGTGGCACTGGTGACGACAGGCTCCTTTGTACCAATAACACTATCTGGCACCCGCTTTCCTCACCCGGGGTGCCACTCAGTCATGGATCATGCTTGTGTACGTGACTGTCTTTACTACAGTGAAGACTACCACCACTACAGTGAAGACTACCACCACTACAGTGAAGACTACCACTACAGTGAAGACTACCACCACTACAGTGAAGACTACCACCACTACACTGAAGACTACCATCACTACAGTGAAGACTACCATCACTACAGTGAAGACTACCATCACTACAGTGAAGACTACCATCACTACAGTGAAGACTACCATCACTACACTGAAGACTACCACCACTACAGTGAAGACTACCATCACTACAGTGAAGACTACCATCACTACAGTGGAGACTACCATCACTACACTGAAGACTACCACTACAGTGAAGACTACCATCACTACAGTGAAGACTACCATCACTACAGTGAAGACTACCATCACTACAGTGAAGACTACCATCACTACAGTGAAGACTACTACCATCACTACAGTGAAGACTACACCACTACAGTGAAGACTACCATCACTACACTGAAGACTACCACCACTACAGTGAAGACTACCATCACTACAGTGAAGACTACCATCACTACAGTGGAGACTACCATCACTACACTGAAGACTACCACTACAGTGAAGACTACCATCACTACAGTGAAGACTACCATCACTACAGTGAAGACTACCATCACTACAGTGAAGACTACCATCACTACAGTGAAGACTACCATCACTACAGTGAAGACTACCATCACTACACTGAAGACTACCATCACTACAGTGAAGACTACCATCACTACACTGAAGACTACCACCACTACACTGAAGACTACCATCACTACACTGAAGACTACCACCACTACAGTGAAGACAACCACCACTACAGTGAAGACTACCATCACTACAGTGAAGACTACCACCACTACAGTGAAGACTACCATCACTACAGTGAAGACTACCACCACTACAGTGAAGACTACCATCACTACAGTGAAGCCAACCACCACTACAGTGAAGACTACCACCACTACAGTGAAGACTACCACCACTACAGTGAAGACAACCATCACTACAGTGAAGACAACCACCACTACAGTGGAGACTACCACCACTACAGTGAAGACAATCACCACTACAGTGAAGACTACCACCACTACAGTGAAGACAACCACCACTACAGTGAAGACTACCACTACAGTGAAGACTACCATCACTACAGTGAAGACTACCACCACTACAGTGAAGACTACCACCACTACAGTGAAGACTACCACCACTACAGTGAAGACTACCACCACTACAGTGAAGACTACCACCACTACAGTGAAGACAACCACCACTACAGTGAGAGACTACCCACCACTACAGTGAAGACTACCACCACAACAGTGAAGACAATCACCACTACAGTGAAGACAATCACCACTACAGTGAAGACTACCACCACATCAGTGAAGACAATCACCACTACAGTGAGACTACCACCACTACAGTGAAGACAATCACCACTACAGTGAAGACAATCACCACTACAGTGAAGACAATCACCACTACAGTGAAGACTACCACCACTACAGTGAAGACTACCACCACTACAGTGAAGACAATCACCACTACAGTGAAGACTACCACCACTACAGTGAAGACAATCACCACTACAGTGAAGACAATCACCACTACAGTGAAGACTACCACCACTACAGTGAAGACA